AAAAAGTCATAATGACATATTGTTAGAGAAAAATGTCTTTTTTTTTTAAGAAACAAATTTATAATAAGTATAATAAAAACTTTTTTATTATTTTATTATATTATTACATTTATTTTTCCCAAGATTTTATATCTTTTTTAACGAAAATACACATTTTTATTATCGTGTTGTTACAACTAAGGTCAAGATCACTACAATGACCTATGAAAATATGATCTTTATATTATCTTGAGAAAAATCCAGAAAACGTATGTACAGAAGAGTAGATAAATAATGAAATACAATATAGAGAAAGAAAGTAAGAATATATAAAAAAAATTAAGTTTTCAAAATAATACCTATCAATATTGATATATTTTTGTAAATAATATCTAATCAACTCTTTTGTCTTCTTACAATTTTCTAACTAATGTTAGCGCATACAGTTTTAATACAATATGTTCCCTCATATTTTTCCGCATCGAAATTAGTAAATTTTTATCGCAAATGTTACCGACAATAATTTTATCGAGTTAAACTCTCTCGTGGAAATAAAACAAGGTAAAGACATAGGAAAAATGTGTCTAATAGGGTCGTAAAGGTAAAATCGCACGTTTCGTGCAAACGTGAATTACCCAGTGACCTCAATACAGCACACTTTTCGCGCGCGTTTCTAGTAAGCACGAGTAATATCAGTCAGGCACGGGTGTTTCTCTGTTAACTTTTAAAATACTGAGCTATTTTCAGTCATAAATGGATATTATGTATAAAAAAAACAGCTTTAAATTTTATAAAGAAAAATTAAATTTATTTCTTAAACAAATATTAGAAGATATAAGAAACAAAATAATAATTTGTTCACATAATGTTGTAAAAAAAGTTATATATTCAGTAAAACTTGGTAATATAATTACATCGATTCTCATCGAAAGTTCTCAGAAAACTTTCCCTTTAGAAAAAAAGTACCACCCTTAGCAAACACTTCTATGTTTAACAATTTAATTTTAGCTATGCGTGAGTTCCCTTCACCTCCTTCTAAATCAATAAACTTAACTTTTTTCACGTGAATTGTATCTTTTTTTATCAAATTTGGATTTAGTATAATCTTATTTTTTAATTTATTAATAATAAATATATTATGAGAGAATTTATCATTCCTAAGGTTGATAATTTAAGATTGGATATTAAAAGATTTTAAAGATTCCTAAGATTGGATTATCAAAAAGCGTAAAATTTAGATATAAATAGTTTTATAATATATAACCATATTTTCATAATTATATTCTATTAATAATATTAAAATTCTAGGATTTGTAAATAATCTTGCTAATAATATATATGTTGTTTCTAATCAAACTACTAAACATTTTACACTTAATACAAGCATTATTATTAACACCAAATGTCAAATGTCATTAAAAATAGAAATCTGTAATAATATGGTTATATTATAATACGGCATCATAATGTAGTCTTCACTAAAATGCATCGCTCTAGAAATAAAGATTTGAAGTCAATTTATCAAAAATTTTAGTCAACATTGTTTTTGAAAAATTTTTAATTTTAAATATTTTGGTAACTAATTAACAAATTTTACTACAATATAATTGATTCTTATGATCAATTTCTTATGACGTATTTTAAGATTACGTAAACATTAATTAGAAAGTAGAGGATCATAATATTTTCCGATGCAGAATATTATTATCTCTTTTGCGTGCGTCACTTCGAGAAACAATATAATATCTTGCAAATTCTGAACAGTCTTTAACTAGATCGCGCTGGAATGGAAAGTTTACGAGGGATTTATTTTCAAGTTTACGAAAGTTTACTGGAAAGAAATTTCTCTTTGGTATAGCAATCTTTCTCACCCTGCCCCTTGTCTCTATTTTTCAAGAGACAATAATAAATTTGAGACATAAAAGAATAATGCACCGCTTCTGAAAAACCATTCGCGTTAAGTAATTACTAACAAAATTAAAACAATCGGGTTTAATTAATGAACAATGCTCTGGTTCGGTTTTAATGATAGTAAGAAAGAAAAAATTTCTCCTAGTAAAATTATTGTTACTATTCTCATTAAAACGTATGTAATTTGCTTAAAGAAATTGTTATTTTGAAATTAATATAGTAAAAAATTAATAATTATTATATGTGTATATGTGTTTTTATATATACTTATTTATATTTTATTTTATTTATATTTATATTTTATGTATATTTTTCTATAGTAAAAAAAATTTTGAAACCTTAAATAGATTATTTCTTTAAAATTCTATCTTATGACATAAATTCAGATAAATTCTCAATTTAAACGCATTCAGAAATCTCCAAAGCAAGATCCTCATGCAATATTGTCCGTAAAGCAATGCAACGCTGCGAACAATCGCGAGAAATTAGAGAGTTGTATATTATATCGGAAACAAGTATTACAACACAATAGTTAGAATTCAGATTATGAATAAAGACAGTTTTTGAGAATAAACTGTGTATTACACTTACAAATCAATAAAAATTTGAATAATATTTATTAAGAAAATAAGAATAACGAAGACACGATTTAATACATATGCTCGATAAGTGTATATATTGTAAATATAAAATGCATAAAAAAGGTACGTCTATAAAAATCTAATAATACATGTATGTATGTTGTACAACAAATAATACATATTATAATAATATATCAAATATAGAAAAATTTAAAAGTATAATAAAATCGATAAGTATAATAATTAATATAAATAAATCCATGGCAATATATTTTAAATAATTAAAGTAATTTATCAAATCTTAAATAATTTTTTAAAAGCATTATAGATAATGTTAAAAAATAAGCAATATTAAAAAATAAGATTCACGTGGTAATGAAAATTAATATATACAATTCACATACTTTAAAAAGACTTAAGAAATAACTATCATCTAATAAACTAGGAAAATATTTAAATGTTTATACATAAAATTCTTAATAAATAAAATATATCATAAAAAGGATGTATAATAATGCAATATCTCTTAATGCAAGTTTAATACTGTCATCGAGAATTGTATTTTACGAAACGAGATTCTGATTATGCACGAGTATTAGGCTGGTCTTCTAATTATCTCCTATGAGTCACTAATTACTGATAAAGCTGCAATAGAAATGCATTGTGCGAGCTACAGCATCACACCAGTATCCCATGTTGTACAGTTAATTGCAGCAGAGAAGCGATCTGCATTCTATCGAACGTCAGTGTGGGAAATTTCGGTACATTTATACCTGTCTATAGTATAATGTAGTTTCAGAAATGGCGGAATTTGAATCATCAATCATACATGAATTAAACAATATACTAATTAATATATATAAATATCTTCGTAAATATAAACTTTTATTATAATATAATTTAAAGATACTTTATTTCTTATCTTTGCTATATCTCTCATATCCATTATTTTAGACTTTTAACATTATTTTTATATTTAACGACCTCAAAATTCATGCAATACTTAATACCTTAATTTCATTAAAAATAATATTATATTATTTGAACTCAATATATTAAGTGTTTATTTTAATCTTCTTTTTATATTTAGTGATTATAACAAACGTTTAAAAACAACGGAATTAATTTTGTTCATCTTTATAAAAAAGTCAAATGTTATACATGTAAATTGATACTCATCTTTGCATTTAATTTTACATTTATGCCGTCTCTATTTCAGTTTTTAAAATACCATCGTGCAATATTTTGCAGATAATTTATAGTGCTAATTGATACAGTAAGCTGATATAATCTAATTATGTGGTGTGAGTTTCCAATTATCGATTGTATCGCGATGGCGATCGATCCTTACATTACGCTTAACCATTAAGTTAACACAACCATTGGTGACGATGAGTAGTAATACTGTCCGATAAAACTAATTTAATATATTGTAACAATAATATTGATCTTAAAAATACATTAAACTTTAATTACTATACTTTCACATTTTCTGAGCATTTCCTCTGACTATAAACTCTTTTAAGAAACTTTATTTTATATATGATATAATATATATATTCATCACAGATATTATATTAATTAATAATATATTCTAGAATTATATGTGTGTATTTTATTTCATTATCAATTTTTTCAATAATATATGAAATATTTATACATCTCATTTTTATGTAAAAATGTTGTGTAAAAATATTTTTTATGTACAATGTTACAGTAGAATATTAATTCCTATACATATACATATATAATTTTATATTTTATATTTGATTAATTTTACAATTTCTTCTTTACTAAAAGAACTAAACATCTCTCATGCTTATAAAATAATTTTGTTTTAAGTTTGAATTTAGTTAAAACGTTTATTTTGATTATAAATTGATCTATATATAAAAGTACATTATATTTTAAACGTAGATTATTAAAATTTACTTCAATCTGCGGAAATGCTACATGACACAATCTGACTACTTAAATAATTTTTTTTTAAATGACAGATTCTGCTTTTTTATTTCCATTTTAACTTTAAATTTAACATAAAATATCAGTTAGAAAATTGTATAAAAACATTTTTAATGCAAGAATTAAATGACTAATATTTTTAACGTGTTTAAATGTCATTCTCTCATTATTTTACTTATTTACTTTATTATTTATATATATTATAAAAAATTATATATTATATATCTCTTCCTCCACAAAAGGTTAAGTACGTCTTAATTGTTTATCGTTTTAGCTCATTCGTAAATGATTATTTTCTTATTCTTTTCCCTTATAATTTAGAATTATATTATAATCTTGTAATACTTTTTCTATACATTTTCCTCTTTTCATAAAAAGAAAATATTTGTACTTTGATCGCTAAAGAGATTGAATTACTGATAAGCTCATCAATTAAATAAGTTCAAAGGCAATACAAAAAAATAGTAAAATCGTATTGAAATTATATATCATCTCCTTAATTAATTTTATACTTATTCTTAGTTTCTTAATTTAAAAAGAAGAAAGAAAAGTAACTACGTTACTCACTCTGTCTGATTATCCTCAAACGTCATGCTGCCTTCGGTATGCACATATTGCTTGCCAGGTTTCGCAGTGCCCTCCATAGTACGATAAGGGATAATAACGCGACCTCGGGCCCCACTATAGCGGACTATCCGCAGAGGATGCTGACCCACGCTCTCCACTAGCTCTACATCTCTCTCGGGAAACCCAAAAATGCCGCTGTGATCGTCATCCAGAATCATTACTGTTGCCAAGCTCGGCGAGACAAGCATTGCTGGTTGCGACACGTTACTGAGCCTGAAAATTAGAAAACATTAGTAGTTAACATTAATTTATGAAAAATTATACTAACTTTAACAACAAAAATCGTTTCCATGAATTCGGCACAATAATAACATACTTAATAAATTTTTAAAAAATTTAATAAATAGATAATTGTAAATTATCATCATCTATTTTTAAAACAAATGTAAAAATGTCAATTTTATACAATAAGCATCATTATTTATTAACCATTTTTGCAATGACTAATATAGATAAATTTCTCGCCTATCAAATTGACCTTTGAATACACACATTTTAATTTGCAGCTCGACAAATCCTTTATTTTTTATCAAAACATATCATTCGGACTAGAATACTTTAATCAAGTTCGCAGGTAAGCTAATCTATAATTTCGACGTTCGTATTTGCCATTCAAAACAGCATTCATCCAAGAATTTATTTTTATCTGTCGGTCTCGTTTGATCACTCCGAGATATTTTTTCTATGTTATTTATTCTTATTATATTATTTAATCCTTTATATTTTCTCTCAATAACGCACAATACATGTAATTTTTATAATACATATTGTATGTATTGTAATATGTATATATTATTATATAATTATATAAATAAGATATAATTATAATTTTTATCTCTAAATTTCTAAAATATTAATTTATATCTATTTAATCTTTTATTTGTATTAAAAATTAATTTTTATTTAACGTATTACATTTTCATATTCATTTTTTATATCTAAAAACATATATAAAATATTCTTGCAATTCTGATATAATATCTCCTCTCATATAGTATAATATAGTATAATCGTATAGACAATATCGTTCTGTTTTACTTTTCATTATTATAATTATTCATGTTCATGTGAGATAATAGACTATTAATGTCAGTAAAAGTCTTTAGATTTTTTTAAAAGTATGACACGTATAAATATTGTTAAGTAACAAAAGTTTTTCCCTCGACCCATATCACTAATAATGTAATAATCGGTAGAACTCTTTATTACTGTAATTGGTGCAGAAATACAATTTTTCTCCGATTTTTCTCTCCGAATTATCAAGTATGTTTATCACAGTACATGTTTTACTTATAGATTTAGTAGCACATGCACGTGTGATTTCCGCACGACCTAGCGATGTAATCTGACATGCAAGGTAAAGTTGCAAATAACAGAAATAAATAATCGGGTCACCTAGCCGAAACCACACGAACCTGCAGTTTCCAATCGTGGCGTGAAATAAAGGGATCTATAGATTGCATGTAAAAAGAGATACATACGTTATATCTCTAAACTTCCAAGGAAAAAGCTAGATCAAAAGAGACTAATAAAAAAAAAGATAAAATATAGAGAAATTAAAATAAATAGATCTAAAATCAACACACATATCCATAATTTCACATTCTAAAAATATATTTTTTGTTATGAAACTATTCTATCGTGATTTTTTTTTTATACATATGAGTATGCTGTTTTAATCTGTAACATTCAATAAAAATTTTAAGCTTTTTGCATTTTTGGAATTTACATCGACAATGTCAAGTGAAAACAAATTACAAGTTTAAAAAACATGACATTTACATATATTAGATATTTATGATTTGTATACTATGATATGTGCAAAGATTTCTTCTGAGTTTTCCAGAAATTAAATTTATAATTCGATTAGATATAATGGTTTTTCTGCAAAAAGTGTTTATAAGTGTTTATCAAAGATATACACATTTTTGATAGTTATTATAAAAATTATACAGCTCAATTTAACAGCTTTAGTGTCATATATCGTATATAAAAGTATAATAATACGTAATCCAAAGGTTAAATAATCGTTTTCCCATACCACCATTATTTAGCTTTAGCAAACAAACAATTTGTTGTAAATAAAATGAAAACACACATGATATGAAAAGAGGCAAATATAAAATGTGTGTATATCATAATTAAATTATCTATAAAATATATAAAATGTATGTGTGAACATTTCTGTGTAACATAATTTATAAACAAATGTTATTATTAATTATTGTATATATTATTATGTATTTTAAATACATAATGTAAAATATATGAAATTGTATTAACAAATAAATAAAAACGTGTTAAAGGATAAACAGAAATATTGATGAAATGATTAATTGTGTTGATTTATTAAACGTATTAAATACATGAAAGCAATTAAACGTATTAATTAATAGTTTTTTAACTTTTCAAGTGTATCTTTATATCTTACGATTAGACTTGTACATTATATAAAATTTTAACGACTTTAATTGTATAAAAAATAGCTACCAATAACCACCTTAACATCTTTCATTAAATCAACCAATAACAGCTTAATTACTGATTAAATTGCAACTACTACTCGTTTAAAATCAATTGAAAGATTGCTCTTTCATTGCTAATCAATGATTCTATATGATTGCAAAATGAACTACACCCACTATAGATATATTTTAAGAATTACGATTCTTTGAAAAAGATATATTGATATTATTGATGTAATTACAGTTCTCTTAACCAGCACACGATAATTATATTGGATGCCTTACAGCGGCGTTGCTTCTATATAACCTCTTGAAATAAATTATCGATAAAAATCCTAATAGTTGAATATATAAACAAATAAATTGGAGATTTTAAGGACTCTTTTATATAATAATAATTAATACATTAAACAGGGCGAATAAGAGTCAAATTACAATTTAAAATCTAAATCTGATAATTTATTTTAATATTATATATTGCGAAGAATATCACGTAATTTTTGGCGTTTCGTCCCGTCTTCCACTACTAGACTCATCAGTAAGGCATTGTAGTGGAAGCCTACTTTATACGCCTTGAATATATAAACATATTTTACGTTAATGTTATTATACATAAAAGGAAAAAAATATAACTGGAATTATAGGCTTTGTCTCAAATTGCAGATATTTCTATGGATTAGACAAGTAGATGTATAAAATTAAATCAATCTTATTCTTTATTTAATTTTAGATGGACTGTATTATTGTAATAAATTGTAATTTTTCGATTGATATAAAATATACCATAGTTATTCAAATATTGAAGTTGCAACTTTCAAAATACCACATTTCGCAGAAGTGTAATATAAAACAATAAAACTTTGATAAAAATAATATCGATAAAATTAAAAAATAAATTAACAAAAGTATACTATTTCATAAATACCTTATGTTGATGAAAAAAGAGGATAAAAATAAACAATAAAAGCGAACGAGGTTACTAGAGCACAGAGAGTGATTAGATATTATTAATGAAATCTTATACAAGTACCGCAATCGCAATTACATAATTACAATTACGATTACGATACTTATAAAAAAATCTTAACAATAAATATATAAACTCTGCACTCCGATATCCGCATTGGCTCTCATTCCCTATTCTTTTTTTTACTTATATTAATATCTTAACCGTTCTCGATAACTTTAACAATGCAATTTACAACAATTTTAAGCTATATCTTTTTGGTAATGAAAAATGTAAAGGTATCAGAATAATATATTTTAACTTTTTAATTATGAGCATCATTAAGCTTCCAAATCTAAAATAATATATGTAGCGCTTTATATAAATTATGAACTTTGTATTTAAATTTTATCTGATATAATGTAATTTTTATAATATAATTATGACTAATACATCAAATTAATTATTATTAAATCTAATAATTATTAAACTGATTTTTAATCTCTTCACATTTCATTATATTATCCCATTTATCACCATATTTTTATTGCTAATACGAAGACTAATCGCATTGACATTCTATTTTTATTATTTTCCTCATTTCCAGAATTTAAAATACCTTAGAGAATTACAAGCTTAATAGCTCATCGCTAAAATTATTCAAATTTCCATAACATTTTGTATATTCTATCATGATAAATGTTTGCAAAAAATGATTATTACTAACCTCACATAAAAATGTTCATCCTCCTCGAACAACTCATCATCAATAACTGAAAGTTTGATAGTCTTCATGGTCTCGCCAGGCTCAAAAGTCAGAGTGCCCTTGGCACTCACATAATCAGATCCCGCTTCAGCGGAGCCATCTTCCGTGCAGTAATCCACAGTGCAGGGTCTGCTGAGATCACCTCCAGCCCTGGAAACGCCCACCTCAAAAGTCCCAACGTTCTCCATCACAGTATAATGACCGGGTTCGAAAAATACTCTCATGGCGTTGACATGTTCAATATCGATACTCTCTGCTTCGGCTTTCTGCAACTCGGCCTTGACCTCGCTAAGGTCGCTCTGCGCTCTTTCGCTGATCTTTCTACTGAGGTTACCCGCGCCTACCATCTTCCTCGTAGCCTGCACTCTATAAAAGGCCCTGCTCTTAGGACCTTTTCCCAAAACCTCCTCGTGAGCCATAACCTCCAGTTGTTCTAGAGCTAAAGTAGGGTACTTTTTACGCAATTCCTTTAATGTATTGATGTAATCTCTGCGAGTTTGCTCGAACTCTCTCGCTTCAGGGGAATCGGCGTCGGCTAGGCGGTCCACCATGCCGTGAAAACCATCTTGTTGAGGCTTGATCTCCAGCTCCACCCCCATCTCGGAATCCCCAGCCTCCGCCTGCACGATTACACCCCGCTTGTTCATTCGATAACCTTTGTGCAGATATTTGTAGATCAACAGTCGTCGATCAGCAACGTAAGCCGTCAATACTGTAGCTGGGAAGAAGGCGAAGGTCAAGATGCCTTCCCAGATCTCCAGTACACCAGGACTGGAAACCGCCAGGATAACGTAGAGCCATACGTAGGCGAAGATGCTCCAAGTGGCGGTGACGAAGAAAACGCGCAGATGTTTTATCTTCCGGGTCTCACCATTGGGGATCACAAACACGCATAAGGAAATGATAACAAAGAGATTGTAAGCGGCGGAACCGACGATCGTGCCCGGGCCCAGTTCACCCGCCTGAAAGTTCTTCGCCCAAATTTCGATGATGGACAGCAAGATCTCAGGAGCACTACTGCCGAGCGCCATTAAAGTCAGATTGGCCACCGTTTCGTTCCACACTCGCACCACGATGATCTGCGGCTCCCTTCCATGACGACGCACCACCAATTCCTTCTCCTTGGACGTGATCACCTCGATGGCAGCCATAAAACGATCGCTAATGATCGACACGCCGATGAACAGATATAACAGTAAAAGAAAGTACACCAGACCTCGGAAGATGATGTCGATTAGATACAAGTTGTTCTCCGGACGCCAGAGCGGTATCACTAGGCCCGGCTCGCAGCGCACCGAGTAGTTTCCAGACATATTGTCAGAGTTGTGTGTCGAAAATTGCGGCTGGAACTTGACGCGGTCTTTCTCTCAGCAAGTTACTTGCCGTCTCTTCGGGAATAAAACTCCGCGTGGAGAAATCTCGTTCTTCATTCAGACTGACACAGAGCGATCTTCCCGCGGCGTTATCTTGACTCGCGGCTCGTTTCCGAGGGATGGAAATTCTAAAAATTTACTTCCCCTCCGAGAAGAAAGACGAGAAGCAAAACAGGTTCCTTTTTTCGAGCCTCGAGAAAAATAATCAGAGAGACTTAAAGACTATTTTCTGTTATTTATTATATGTTTCCGTTGCATAAATTTTGCTCTCTATTACATCAACATTGACTAACAAATTACCGACGTTCATTTCTAATGCGCGAAGAATGTAAACGAATCCGATCTTCCGCATGCGATACAGGCGTGTTTGTTTTTGCTGAAAGAAGGGCGATGACGTTTCGGAACTACCCCAATCGCGGGCAACAGCGATCACTGTATACCATCGAGCTGCAATTTTGTACCAAGCTAATATTTCCCTCAGCTTCCGTGTTAACTAATTTCATTTTCTAATCAAGTCTTCGATATCGTTTCCCCGTCAAATTGGCCTTGGAGTAATTTTGTCTGTATGTCACTGCCCTGTCCTCCCCTGCACTCACGCACTCCCGCCCTGCTGACACCCCTCTCTTTACGCACGCCCGCTCGCACCCCCGGAAAGACAAAGCTCTAGTACCACACGGATAACACTGAGAATGGTGTATCGGCTACCGATGGCACCCACCGATATTACCGCGGCAGTGAGCTCCCATCACGAAACGGACCCTCTGACATCACGGGGTATAACAGAACCGTACCGGGCCGCGCTCGAACGAACACTGAGAGAGGAGTGAGAGAAAGAGAAGAGGCTAGAGGAGAGAGCGGCCAGACCGAGTGGGGAGTGGTGTCTCGAGCTAGCCAGACGTGGCCACCCCATCTCTTTGCCCTCCTCCTCTCGCCCTTTAGCCTTCTCCCGTATCGCTCTAGTCGCGTCCTCGTCGATGGCAGTGCGCCGGCGATACTCCTATCTCGGTCCTCTCTATCATGCCGACGGTATCGCCGACCTTGTCTCGGCGGTACTTCCGTCCCTATTCAGTTCACAGCATCGGTAGTATTCCCCTTCTTGTCAACTTCACAGTTGTGACGATCCCTCCGTCTTTCTCCACTCTACCAGGCTGACGATACCACCGTTCTCGTCTACTCCACTAGGTGTTACCACCGCCCTCATCGCATATCTCCATCCTCGCCTACTTTATCACATCAAGTGTTTTACCCTCCTTGTCGACTTCTCTGCACCGACAATACCTCTGAACTTGCGGGCGGTATCTCCGTTTGCATCGTTTTCGCGAAGAAATGCCGCCGTATCTATGCGCGTCTTTCGAGTTACGTTTTACGTGGCGTAGGAGTATCTTGTATTCAGTTATACAGAGTAACAAGAATACAGCCGTCTTTTTCTAGCAGCTATTCTCTTTCCTTTTTTATCTCTCGCTTTTTTACCCCGTATTTATATCATTGTCCTCGTCGAACCCTAACACTTTACCCTTACCTTTTAGCTTCTCTCTCTCTCTCTCTCTCATTCTCTTTTATCTCTCTTTCTCTTATTTTATATCAGGGGTGGCTATACACGACAGCAAATTTCTCATATAATTTCTATGTTCTAATAAAATAATTTGACTTTGTGTCTGACAAATGTAAATAGACAACATCACATATGCATAATAATTTTAAGAAAAATTTATATCTAAAGAATAAATAATGCTAAACCGAAAATAATTTTTTTTATATAGAGCGTAAACATAACAGAGAAAGAGCTAAACAGAGGAGAGGGGAAAAAGGAAAAAAACTAAGGTAAAAAGGAGTATTAGGGTTTAACAAGGACAATGATATAAATATAAGAAAAGGGGATGAAAATAAAAAAAGAAAGCTAGAGATATCATAGAAGGATAGATAATTTTTCATTTTTTATGTCTAGGAGCGTTGTATATAAAGTATAAATACAAGCTTTTTTGTATATATTTAAAAAATAAGAAATAATTTTTATTTAAAAAATTGAATGTATACAAACATATGCATACATGTATGTGTGTGTGTATGTGTGTGTGTGTGTGCGCGCGTGGGTGTGTGTAGAAACTTCTATCGTTTTTATACATATTATGGTTATGTGTTTCATATCTTCATAATACTATATATAAGCAATTTTTATATTGAGAAGATATATATATTGTAATTTACCATAGAAGTTTGCAAAAGCTTATAAAATAATGTATGTACGGGGAAGAAAGGAAAAAAAGGAGAAAATAAAAGTTTCAAAAAATGATTTTCTCAATCAAAATTGTTTAAATAAGTATCAAAAATATTTCTAATACATTAAAATTTTTATTTATGTAAGTAAGGAATTTATATATCAGTAATTGATTTATTTAAAAAATATTTTGGTTAATAATTTCAGGCCTTGCAGCTTCTGTTAAAAATAACTTTTTAAATTTATATCTTTCTTTGCCTTATATAAATTTAATTTAAAGTTTTTCTGATATTACCTTTAATAAAAAGTGAGTCTCATAAATAATGTAATTTTAATTACTATCGTTCTAAATGAATCTATTCAAATTGCTTCTCTCCTTCTAAAGTCATTATCTTTGTCATTCTTAGATCCTTTTCATTCCTCTCCCAAACTATCCATGCCTTTTGCTCATCCTCCCCACGTTTTCTGTTCTTGTTAGAGCTTGCATTCTCATTGCCTCTCCATCCTTTAAGCCAGGAACACATATGCAGAAAGGCAATTTCATATCTACTATCAAATTCTTATGCTGATTTATTATTAAACAAATATTATTAATATTTTTAAAAATAATTGAAATTTTCTCGGACTAACAATCAAATTTTAATTATAAAATAATTATAAATATGTTTATTATAAGAATCTATCAAAACAAGAAATTAGAATTAGAATTTTGATACATCTTCTAAATGAATCTCTCCCTCTTATAGAGTTTATAGTGCGCTATTGCTTTAAAATGATCCTTGTCACACTGGGGTGCCCATCTCTTTCCCGTTCTCGCTGCACCGCGCCCTCTTCTCATACCTCGGTTTTCCCTGCATGATTGCGCATGTGCGCCATTCGGTGCGCAAAATACACCCTGAAAGGGGTAGAAGCTCGCCTCGGTATCTTGCATCTAGCTAGCACGGATAATTCTAGATCAAGTATACAAATTTGTATGAGGTGGAATAATTGATTATTTTTCTAATATTTTGACAATCGATCAATGAAATCATTATTTCTTTGTTATTGAAATTTGTCATAATTTACATCTTATATTTGTAATTTTTACTTAACTTTCTCTCTCTCTCTCTCTCTCTCTCCCTCTCTCTCTCTCTCTCTCTCTCTCTCTCTCTCTCTCTCTCTCCCCCCCCCCCCCTCTCTCCCCCTCCCCCCTCTCTCTCCTTCCCTCTCTCTCTCTCTCTCTCTCTCTCTCTCTCTCTCTTTCTCTATCACAAAATAAAAGATTATTGTTCTTATGAAATTGAGATTTATTTATATTTATTATATTTACATTTTAACTCCTGATATTGTAGCATTGTTCCATGCAGCACAATGATTTTATAATATTAGAATTTCTTAATAAGGATCCAAACCAAGGATCAAACATAAGAAAAAAACGGTACAAATATATCAATCGTATCAACACACACCAACATCCTGTGTACAATACTCGATTAGGCAATTCACTTCCACTTATTCTGATTTTCATCACACGAGTCAATTAGTATCATCTTTCATTATATTTATATTTTAAATTTATAATAAAAATATTTTTAATTTATTTTCAAACAATTCTTTTAGATGAGTAGCATTCAGCGGAATTGTAAATTATTAACAAAATATTACATTGTATAAAAGTGAATATCAATCGACACGGTAAAATTAATTTTTCATTTTTATATATACTTAATTAATAAATGCGAATTTCGTAAAAGGTTTTCAGGATCTTTTCAATTAACTTAATAATATATGTAATTAAAATATATTTGTGGAATTTGTAATGTAATCACTTTTGATTAATTAATTGAAGATTTATCATAATAATTGATACGATTATAGTTTCGATTACATCTGATATTCCGATTTTTAATGTTTATTATATATGGAGATAGGGATTTACAATAGATTTATAATAGAAAAGCGCAGAGTTACCTGAAGCGATTAAAATGGATTAACAGATGTTATGTTTAACGATAGACTACAAATATTAATTAAAAACTAAAAATTAAATATACGAAAGTTATGTCATAAATAGATTTAAAACGTACAAAGTAACTGTTGAATTAGTTACCAAAAAAATGTATGTTATCAGTGCAGTTATTGAAAAAACTAAAAAGTTACTGAACTAAAAAATTATTTTTTTATTTCTATAGCTATATACGATTATATAAACGTAATTTAAATATAATTTAAATGCGACGGAAGACAGATATTTTTGACTATATTACTACATGACATGAAATACGTTTAATCTTTTAGGACTTCGCAATGCGAAATGGGGAAAAAAGTGAACTTAGAAGATTTTACCATCTTCGTAGAAATCGTAGATATCTGGAATTTTGATATGTGCATTTGAGTCGCTTAAATATTACGCTCGTTTCGTACTTTCGTGCATCGAATTTGTATTTATTTTGCGACGATCATGCTGTCGCAATCGTTAACTCGTGCTACAAAATAATAAGAATTTAGAAAATTGCAAATATATTAAATTAAAAATTTTACAAATATCGACAAAAACATGTCGTTTTAATATTTTACCATTTGATTATTTTACAAAATTACAAATATAATTTGTCAGTTGTAGAATATCTTTTTATTAATAATATCTGAAAAAATATGAACAACTTTTATGAGCTTAAGTTAAATGTTTAATAAATAAATTTAAAAACTAATTAAAGGACAATTACATAAGTCTTCATGTTAATATTAACAGGATATAAAAAAATATTTATGTGGATATAACTTTATACTAAAATATACAAGTTCATCATCAAATCTTTATTTTAAAAATCATATACAAGCAAAGAATATATATTTATGCACGAAATTATTATATGATTATCTTATAGTAGTATACAATAATGCATGATCAAGCGTACAATAAAGTATTAGTAAGGTAATAATATAATGAATTCGAATAAAGTATCTTGCTTTAAGTACATATAACTCAATAATAAGCATATAGAGCATTACAAAGTGACAATTATTATTATTTGATTTCTATTTGTAAAATTAATTGTAAGTACTACGAAATTAAAATTTAATTATTTATATGGTAAATCATCAGTGGTAAAAACAAAATTATTTGCAAATTTTATGTAAGTATTTGCTAAATGAATTACACAATAAAAGATGATTTTAGAGATACATTAGCAAAATTAAAACTGAATGGTATTTATTTAATTATTTAGCGTGTGTTTTGTTTGGAATATTTTAAAACTATTAAAATTAATATTATTAATAAAGAAAAAAAGTATTTTAAAGTATATTTTTCTACGTAGTAAAAAATGTTATTAGTTATACTTTTTATTTAATTAAATGTAAACTAAGAATAGAATTTTTGTTCTCATTAATTTTTTATATTCATATAAAATTTGTTTGAAATATTTTTCTAAATAAATTAATTGAAATTAAGTTATTGTAAGAAAATTTATCATAATTGCATACTTCAATCAAAATGATCTATCTCATTTGGCGTATAAAATCTTTTTGATAACGAAATTTAAAAAATATAATGAAAAATTTCATGACACTTTTTACTCGAAAGTGTCACTATCATTATCATCGTTCTTATTGTCATAATCTTCATCTGCATTCTTTTCATCATCATTGTCATCATTCTCACATGTACATTGTGCACATTTATCTTCAATACGCATATTTCTTAAATGTATTCTTAAATGTCCTGGAAGTAAGTGAAAAGATCTTGCTGTCAATAATGGCATGGGATTTTCATCAAGATAAATGTTTTTTAGCTCCTTAATGTTAATCAACGATATGCTGTTCAAGTCGGTGAAATTATTTCGTTCAAGATGCAATTCTTGGATCCACGGATATATCCAATGTACTGGAAGCTGCTTGAGGCGATTTCCGGAAAGGTCGAGATACTTCAAACTTTGGAGATTGCGGAAAGCTCGGGTTTCAATAGTGGTTATAACATTGTTTGACAGATGTAAATACTCGAGAGTCCTCAAATTAACGCAGAAACTGCCAGAGAATACTGCGCTGATGCGATTTCCAGACAGATCCAGATTCTTTAGGTAGAAGATCGAGCAGACATCCGGTACAACAACGAGGACATTATCAGCCAAAGAAAGATTACTTATCATCATAGTTTCATTAAACGTGCCTTTGGCTATATCAGCGATCTCGTTGCCTGATAGATCTAGCTTTAGCAGACGACTTGTGTCACTAAAGGCATCGGATGATATCTCTGAGATCAGATTCTTGGCTAAAGACAGATACTGCATTTCGGCAGCACCTTTCAAGGATATAGATTTGTCTTGACATTCCTCCAAACACACTTGGGTGATGACGTTGTCATCCATATTGAGTTCTTGCAGATGCCTAAAATTAATAATCAAAATTAAAGAAGAAGAAAAATAAATAACATCAATAATTATAATAATAATTATTGATAATTGTTATAACAATAATATTCATAATATTATAATAACAATTCCTGCATGGTAAAAATAATACTAATAATATTATACATATCATAATATTTGATATTATTACTTATTTATTATATTTCTTAAATTTCTCTCTTCAAATTTTAGTTTTCTTTAAAAATTATAGAATACAAAGTCTTAAAAATATTTTATAATTTATGTATATAGAGGATGTTTGAGAAGGAATGAAAAGTTTTGTCGGATAGAGGTAGAATGGATTAAACTGAGAAGAAAACACCTTTACAATTTTCATAATGGTTAACGAGATATTAATTTATAAAAATATCCAAATTCGCCCGGCCCACCGCGAAATGCAAGCGCGCGGCTAGATATGACCGCCCAGCGAGATGCACCGCGCGCATTCGCCGTCGCTAGGCACGCATTGTTTATAACAAGCGGCAATGGACATTGTCTAGTGACGACCATTGCCGCTTGTTATAAACAATGCATGTCTAGCGATGGCGAACGTGTACGGCGCGTCTCGCTGGGCGGTCGATCTACTAGCTGCGCGCTTGCATTTGGCGGTGGGCCGGGCGAATTTGGACATTTTTATAAATTAATATCTCGTTAACTATTGTGAAAATTTTTTGTAAAATGGTAGAGGACTTTTCTTCTCAGTTTAGTCTATTCTACCTTTATGCAAAAAAAACTTTTCATTACTTCTCAAATACCCTGTATAATATAAAATTCTAAAAAAATGTAGACTTTTTCAACTTTTCTGTAAAATATATTTCAATTTATAATGTTAAACATATTAAATTAATATGATATATTAATATAAAATTTTTAATAATATAAGTTGGAACAGTTTTTAAAAATGTTGAGTAGTCTACATATTAAAAAAACTGAAAATTTTTCTGAAAGATACAAAATTATATAAAAATTTTGAAAAATCAAAGAATTTCAAGAAAAGTTTTCGCCAGGAAAATATAATAACTTAAAATTAATAACTACAATCGTAATGACAATGTCAATATTACTGATAATGACAACAAGATAAATAATAGAAATAACAGAAATATCAATTGCTGTCTAGTAAAAATTTATTGCTATCTTATAGATTCTTTAATAAGCAAGAAAAATAATTAATTACATAAGAAAACAATTTAATAAATATTGATACCTCAATTTATTTTGTTTGACTTGATTGATAACGTTTTTGTTTAGATGAAGATGAGTCAATGTTGCCGGAATATTTTCGAAAACAGCATTACTAGAATAGATGCTGTTATTGTTCAGATGTAAGTGAGTCAAAATAGGTGTTGCCAAATAAAAAGGAATTTGAAAATTCCCTAATTGACCATTGGACAAGTGTAGATGTTTCAAATTCTGAAAAACTTCATATTCCTTCAGGGTCGCCGTAATGGGATTATGAGAATCTCGATTGTTGTCGATAATCAATGTCTGCAGATTGGCGCTTCTTGGCAACAACAATAGCTTCTCTTTTGGAATGTTATTTCCAGAGAGATCCAAATATCTCAAGTTCTGCATCTTGCGAAAAGCAAATGATGAAATATCGTCTATGTCATTGTTATCAAGGATAAGACTAATAACATCATTGCTGTTAATAAAGTCTCGACCAATTTTTTTAAGACCCACATTAGAAAACCTGAAGACATGACTATGAAGAGAGCATGAATTTGAGGGGAATGTTGAGATAATAGGAGCGGAAATAATCTGTATGGGTGTCGATGGTGTCACATTTTTTACTATTGTCCAATGAGCATTAGACTTGAAATCATAAGGAGGAGTATTTTCTTTATGTTGAGTCTTTGCCAGATACACAATGGTGAAAATTAAAAAAATCGTGAATTTGTAGCCTAGCGTCATCTAAAAAAGAAAACATAAACAGACAAATTAATACATAATATTAGTAAAGAAATATAAAGAAGAATAAAAGACTAAAAATATATATATGGATAATTAACTCATTATTAATAGCCAATATAATAATATAAAAGTTAGCGAATACGTCGCTAACTTTTGTATGTCAAACTTATGTATATAAAACATATTCAATTTTATTTAATTTCTTATAACATCCTTGGTTGTTGCTCATCTTTAACTATTATTTTATATTACTATGTATTAGTTAAAAAATACAAATTTAATATTAATTTAATATAATTTTATAGATTAATTATGAAATTAGTTGATTAATGTAATGCTAACACTCATAAATTTTAAACATAAATAAAAAGTTACTTAAATAAATAATGGATAAAAATTGGTTACTTAAATAAATAATGGATAAAAATTAGTAAAATTAAATTAAAATTAAAACATGGTATAGCGTATAGTTATTATTCAGGTTTTTAAAAAATATATATAATAATAAATAAAAGTTTTTAATATTATATTGGAAAATTAAAATATATGGTAAATTTTAATAATTTGTGGTAGGTACTTACCGTTGATATCGAGTTGCAATTTTTTGGAACTTGTTAAAAGAACTTTTTTTAATTATACTTCTCACTCGCAGATTAATTCACTCAAGTGGTCTAACACCTTTTGTCATAAGCAGGCAAAGTTATCTTCTTATATACTCGGGATGGTCTTCATGGGATCAGGGGACTTTTTTCGCGTGAATAACAGGGCCGTCTACATATAATGCATCGTACACCGGTCGAAAATAATGTTTATAAATTAAAATTGTATTAAATTCACTAAACTAAATCACTCATAAGTAGAACTTAAGAGATATATTTTATTATTTTTAATATATGATATTAAGCAACTATTTTATGATTTTCATACGCTCGGGATTCAATATTTGATTGAGTTAATATCTTTCCTAGAACCCAAAATATCAATTTACTATAATAAAAAACTTATAATTTAAAATATCTTGTTATATTTATTTAAGTCTAAAAAATATATGTGTGTAATTCATTTAATTATTTAATATAATGGCAACTATACGCTCATATGTATATAATTAAAAAAAAAATTAAATATCTAACATTATAGTATTCTCGATAAAATTTCTAAAATCAAAAACTATTTTTCACACACTTTTTAAAAAAAATATACATTTTTTAAATACTAATTTTATTCTCTAAATTTCAGTTTTTTTTAAATTCTACTTTTCTATAGTTTTTTGTACTCTTCATGTGTATTTATATTTTATTATATTTTGTGTATTTTAATAGGAACATATTAAAATTTAGACATATATGTCATAAAAAATTATGAATACTTGTAATTAAATGTATAAAAGGAGTAGATAAAAGAATGTAAAAAGTTGAGAACGATAAAATTTCGTTAGATAAAGTTTTTAGTAATAAAATTCTTATATAATGCACATGCCTTAATTTTTTTATATGGGGCCGAAGATTATCAATGTACTTTCCTGAACACGTACGATTGAAACGTATCTTATGCCATGGAGACGACTTCTCATAAAACTTTATACAATCTTACGGCTAGTCTTACACAATTATCATACTATTTATCATCAACGCCCAACGATATAAATATTCTGAAGCATCTAGATTTTTATGAGAAAAATAGTTTTGGAAGTACAGAATAATTTTTAACATTTTAATGATAAGTTAAGGTTTAAGATGTTTAAAGAATTAGATATTTCATAACAATTTATACTTTATAGCATTGGTCACGTTCAGCAGACTCAACTGTTGCGGAGCAGATCCGTGAGCGATTATTGCTATTGGATGATCTAAAAGAATATACCAATAGCAATGAGCATTTACGGATCCGCTCCGCAACAGTTGACTCTGCTGAACGCGACCATTATAACAGTAACTAATTTATATTTTGTTTTTTATTATATGAATTCTAAATATTTTCATCTATATATTTAATTGTAGTTAAAATCGCTTCATTTTTAATAAATAAAATTATTCCATCGATATTTTGTATGCGTTTTTTTTTAACAGTAAGAATATGGCTTCTATACAAGCTAAAGTCCATTCTTTTTTTAGCAAGAAATTAAGCAGCATACTCAGCAGTTAGTTATAGACGCGATATCAACTAACAGCTTAATGCAGAGATATTTGTTAGTACGTATCTTATTACACCAATGCTATAAATTATTATTTTAAATAAACAGATCAGTCAGATATAATAAAAAGTTTTTATTTTTTGTTATATAACAAAATTATATAACAATTATAGAAATAAGTTTGTAGTGTATTTATAAGAGAAAGATAATTAAAATTAAACATAAAAATTAGATAAACTAAAATTAAATACGTAAAATAATAAATGCTAAACATACAAAATAATAATCAGTATATAGTCATAGTGGTAAAAATTATGAATCATCTTAAGCTAAGTATATTGTAATAAAGTCTGGTAATGGCTCAATTTCAAGTGTTGTTATTTTACTGAATGTATTATTCCGTACAAATAAATATTGCAATGAATTTATCGAATATATACCTATTTCGGAAATACTTGCAAATTTATTCGAATTTACATTTAAATATTGAAGATTTATTAAAGTCAATGCCCAATCAATTGGCAAATGATTTAATTGATTTTCTGATAAGTCTAAATATTCCAATTTTTCTAATCCTGAAAAGTTTTCTTTTTCAAGACGCTCTATTCTATTTCCTTTTAATGATAACTTTGTTAAAGACTTTAAATATTTGAAAGCGTTTGGTTTAATAAATGTAATCATGTTATAGTTCAACGACAATTCATTAAGCCATTGCAAATTAGTTAGAATAGGAATATATGACAGTTTGTTATAATCTAACAAAAACCGTCTTAATGAAAAAAACCTTCCGGATTGAATGGTAACGTCAAACAGATTACCAAAATCATTCCTAGACAAATCAAGTTGTTCTAAGTACGGGGTTTCAAAAAATCCATTACTAAGATGTTTCGTACAATTAGATAATGACAATATTTTCAATTTTGTAGAATTTATGAAGATAGTTTCGAAAATATTTCCGTCCAAATATAAAGAGGTAATTTCTCCTGCGTTATATATTGTTAAATTACGGAAATAATTATTCTCCAAATGAAGAACTCGTAATGATATAGGGATTTTGTGGAAAAAATTTTTTTCCAATTCTTCTGCGTTAATGTTATTTAAATCTAAACATATTAACTTTGGAAACGATAAATTGAAATCCCATGAAAACGATGATATATCGTTTCCACTTAAACTGAGATATTCTAAATTCGGTAATCTTATCTTAGTGTTGTTAAAAATCAACCGTTTGTATATATCTTCTATTTCCTCAAAAGTTTCCACTTCCGTTTCCGGTATGGTATTGATAACGTTTGGCCTCTGATAGCTTAAGTCTAATACTCGAAGATTGGGATGTACAATTTCATTAGCTTCATAAAGATTGATATTGTTGTATGACAAATTTAAGTACGTTAGGTATGTCACGTGGTCTAAGAGACTTGGAATCTTTGTCAATAAGTTATTGGAAAGAGAGACATCACTAATTGCGTTGCTCTTAATAATGTCATTTTTGATTGTTTTTAAATCCATGTCACTCAAATTAAGTCTTTCATTTACATTATTTATATTTTTTTTTTTCTCGTTGATGGTGATTTTGATATTAAATATGTTTTCATGTTCTTTTGATAATGTTGAAATAGTCTTCATATTTTTAAATTCTGACAAAGTTTTTGTTGGCTTTCCAGCCAACAGAAACGTTAATACAAATAGTATTAACTCCATCTGTAAAAATAATAAAAAGCAAGTTAATTACGAAATTATAATACTCAATATAGTTTAAAAACTACGTAACATTACATATAATTTAATTAGAAATATTTATAAAATTTAACTTTTCTTGGAAAAAGAAATTACTGATGGATGTTTTTTATATAATAGATATATTAGTCATATTTAATTTTAATTTGAGTTTATTTTATATTAAAATTCTTAACTATTTGCCATTAAATAAAAAATAATAACTTGTTATTTACCTTTGCTTATATAATATTTATTTCGAAACAAATAACTTTTATCTTTGATATTTTATCGTATCATTAAAAACAGCATAGATATTTTAAATACTTGAATTAGGGAAAATATCCTTTATATAAAAAAACATAGCAATTAAAACATTATTGTCCAATAAACATGTGGAAGCATAAATAAACTAGAAAAAAAAATTATCTTATAATAATACAAATACTGAAAGTAAATTGTTACACAATATTTAAATATATAATACTAAATCTTATTTAAGACCTGCATACATATGAGAAACATTGCAACTAATGAGAAATTGTCTTTAACGGTCGAGCTAGATCTTAGGTGCTATTATAATTTCGTGTGAATTTATATATTACGTATGTGTAATCTTTCAAACCGCGCGCCGAACAATTTTTCAGTTTTGAAACGCTACTCTACGAAACTACCGTAATAATATCACGAGTTCAATTATCTATCAATTTTAATGTTCATAGCATAAATTGTTACAATTCTCAGTTTATCAAAAATAAGGAAATAAAAAATTAGAAAATTGTATAAAATATGATTATATAAAATAAAATAACATTTAAGTAGAAATAAATCAAAGACTTTCTATGTATATACATGTTTCCTAAGCAAAAAATTGTCAAATTAGTGTTGACTTTTTAATTGATTTTATATTTAATTATTATCAAATTTAATTATTAAATAAAAATTGCATCTTTAAGTATAATAAATAATCAATGAAAAACCGATGAAAACAGACCGTAATAGTCAAGCTGGATCTTGATTTATATTCTATAATATAGATATGTAGATTTTTAATTGCGCACCGAATTCTTTTTAGACATGAAACGCAAGCTGTACTCGAGCTTAATATATAAGCTATAAGATTTAATATTGATAATATATAATGTACAATAGTATAATAACGAAATGTATAAAACATATTTTATTATATTTTTTAATCACTTTTCCATCAATAAATAAAATTTACGTATAAACTATTAAAAATTAATAGAAATATAGCATACTTTCGTCGATAAGTTGATTCTATCCAAGAATAAGTCTAAGTACTCGTTCAACTATTTTGGCTATTAATTTCTCACTGAATGTTCTTTGCAAATACTGCGCTTTCGAATCTGCATCTTATATATATTTACGTGATATTATCACGTCATTCTTAAAAATCAGCACTTATTCATATTTTTATCATAGGAAATTCTGAACGCATAAAGTTTATCAAAACCAGAATATACTTAGATATCTAACGCATTTGATTTATCAAATAAGTAGAAATCTTTTTCTGTATGTGTGTATAAGCATGTAATATTTATAACGTACAAAAACTATAAAAATTTTTAATTGGAGAAATTACATATTATAAATGTCCACAAAAATATTACAATTATAAATATGGTTTAAACATTATAATCTTCAAAATCTACAAAATTAATTAATTTTTCAAAATTAAATTGTAAAAAGAATGTAATCAATTTTTTAAGTTAAAATATTCTCTATTATACATTTTCTTCTATCCTATAATTCTTTTTCTGCAAACGAAGAGCTTCTCTTATACCGTTCTCCCATTACATTGCGCTCATATTACATAAATGCATATAGGGTGAGAAAGTAAAAGAAAGAAAGAAATCATATAATACGTTTTTCTTCCATGCATGTCTTTAAAATAAAAGTTAAAAGTAAGAGGAAATATAGTAAACGCCCATCCTACTATAAAATAAACAAGACAGATTATACTTTTTATTATTATAATTAATTTTTTTCGTAATTAATTACATCATTATTTATAAAATCGTATTTAATTAACAAAACGTATTTATTAAAATTAAAAGAAAAATATTAACGATAGTTGTATGCCTTTTGTTTCTGGTTTAATATGCACTATTTGTATTTGATATGCACCATTACGTTTTTCGTAATTAATGTTATTAAAATTATCTGATTCTGTTATAAAATATAGTGTATAATTAATAGTGATATTATAATGACTAATTTAACAAATTTTAAAATTCAATAATATAAAATATATAACATTATATCTACGTACATTAATTCTTAACAAGTTTCTCTTATTATCAATGGGAAGCTTTAGTTGAGCGTTATGTATATGTATATCAAGTTTCCATAATTTACTTTTCATATCGATGTTTTATATCTTTCCAAAGCCTCTGTAATAAACATTAAGTAAATCAATTTTAGCAATTTTGATCACTTTAATCATTTTATGATAAAAGACGTCACACATATAATTCAAAAAATCATAATATAAAAATATCATGAAAATGATAAATATATTATATAAATATATATGTATATATGTGTATATATATGTATATATGTACGGTGTATGTAATATGTTATAATATCATACCCCTTTATTTACAGTTTCAAATATGTACTCGCAAGCTTCATCGTATGCTCTCTCAAAATACATCGCGCTAATCACGGCACTAAGTGTGAACGTAGAGCTTCGTTTAAATACGTAGTGATAAAGAAAACGTGCAATCTTATTCAACATGATCAGAAATTCTAAAAATATTACGTGGATCAGAGGCTATGATATGGATGAGAAAGATATTACATGAAGTACAATGTAGATTTAAATGTAGATTGTCAAATTATTCATTATTACAAAAAAAGCAACATATTCACATAATTGAGCAAAATCATATATTTTTTAATAGCATCAAATAAATGCAAAAGTATAACTTTTAAGTAGTGAACTCTATTGTTAAGTTATTAATTATTGATTTTATTATTCAATTTTTAATGAAAAAATTGTCAAATTCTCTGTCTTTACAAAAATAGATTTAGAATTAAAAAAACATTTAAAAAATAAATTATGCTATTGACTGTACATGTAAATTTAACTCATTTTAATATCCTGTCATTTCAATTTATCTCTATTTCCATTTATCTATTTCTAGGAAAATATAACCCAAACGAAGGAAGAATCGTTCTATTTATTTTTAATTTATTGCGCAATTTTTGCACTTAATGTTTTTATCTAATAGTATTTGATAATTATGATTATAAAAAGATAAGAAAAGACAATATTAAGTAATGTAAAATAAAATTTTTTTTAAGAATTGTCTTCAAGAGAAAAGCATTTTTGAAAATTAAGGAATTAAACATTTTCATTCTTTGCTAATTATACAACATTCTATGAACTGTTGACAAACAAATTTAAGAATCGTGTTAGGCCTTCCATATTCGTAAACTTTATTAAATCTTCGAGTAATTCATATCGACAATAGTATATAGAGCAGAATAGGTAAAATACATTATTGAATAATTTTTTACTGCAATATTTCTCCATCTCTCTCTTTTTATATTTCTGTTCTTAACAATATCGTACAAAAATATAAGACAAATAGGTACAAGGAAAAATCTACTGCATATCAAAACAATAATCACTTTTTAACAGAATAGTGGAAAAAATATACAGAATATTCTTTTACACATGTATAGCATTAATTTAAATTTTAATTCTATGTATCAAAAACTTTCACGTTTTTTCTGCATCATCGCGATGTAAAGTTTTTGCAACCGAAGTTGGTACTTGCAGTACTTTTCGTGATATTCTTATTTGTCCGGACACTGGATCTCGTCCGAAATATTTAACTTGTATCTCTTGACCAACTTCAAGTCCTAGAGCACTAGGATGATGAATCTTACGTTGATCCAACTGGGAATTAGGTAATAATGCCGGTATCATATTGGAATATAACGTCACCATAACCCCAGTTTCCCGAATTTCTACTATTCTTGCAGTATAAATAGCACCGAACTCCAAAATCGGCTCACGATCCTTTTTTAAAATACCTTCTATCATTTCTTTTGCCTCCGTCATAGCGTCTTCGTTGGGCGCAAATATTGAGTAAATGTTTTCGTCATGCGGATATATCTGAACAAAATAAAAATAAGAAATGAAATCTCAAGTTATAATAAAATTGTAATAAACAATTTTATTATGAATTTAATAATATTCAGGTCATCAGACACGAAAACTTTTCAGATCATAAAAATCTTACGTGCACTCCAGTTTCCAAAAATATTTTCTTTAGGTTTATTCCTCCAATTCCAAGGAACTTTCCTCTTTGATGAATAGGAATTTCTAAGTTATCAACCACTGGCATTTTGTCCTTTTTAGTTTGTCGCGGTGCTTGTATCACTTTATTCATGATCTTGATTATTTCTGATTTAGCATTTGTTGTTTTATCTATACATTCCATTATGATTTTTAACGGAACTCCTGGTATCTTTATATCAGCTTGAAATGCGGTGAATCCTGCTTTGGTGCCTGCTATTTTAAAATCCATATCTCCAAGATAATCCTCAATTCCCTGCAATCAAAAGTTTTTGTTAATCATATAATTTTTTATTTAAATATTAATCCCAATAGTGGTTAAACTTGAACAATTTATAACTTGGAATAAATTTATCCTGAAGGAAACAATAATCTACATTCTAAATGTATCTTGATTCAAATATGAAATGAAAAAAATTTTGATTTAAAAAATTAAAGTAATCTTTAGATGATCTTAATGATACTTTATATACAACGCTTGTTAAGACAGATTTCAAAAAAGAATAAAATTTTGTAGAAAATAAGTTTAAATATTTTGAATCATTGTGTGCGTGAAATTCTAGTATTAATTTTAAATTACAATTTTGGTATAATATAACTATATATGATTATAGGAATAAAAGTATGTTCTTTTAAAATGTTTTTTCTACTTTTTTTGTGTTTCTATTCTTTTTCGATAATCAACTCCAAAAATACAACTTTGTTATGTCATTGCTGTAGCAAATATTCTGTAACCAAATTAATTGAATTAATTAAACGGTGTAATAACTGTGTAAATACGTACCAATATATCGGTCAATATTTTGTAGTCTTCAATATGTGTATTGGTTTCATTATATTTAGTCACAAGACCAAAAGCAACGCCAGCTGCTGTCGAAGATATTGGTATACCTGCATCGAGCAGTGCCAAACTTCCGCCGCAAACGGTAGCCATTGAAGAGGAACCTTTTTATATAGAGCAAGACATAACTTTAACTTATAAAGTTTTTGGTACATTATTGTAGCTTTACAAGAGCATTTATTAAACTATGTTTATTGCCAGGGGTATTGTACTATCACCTCACCATTGGATTCTAGAACTTCACTAGTCAGTCTTATGGTGAAGGGATAATCCTTTGGAAGAACTGGTCGCAAGGCTTTCTCTGCCAAAGCGCCATGTCCCAGTTCTCGGCGACCAACTCGAGTCGAGTGTCCCGTTTCATTAGTCGCGTAAGGTGGAAATTCGTAATGGAGAAAGAAGTTCTTTTCCTTAACACCACTGCTACAAAAAATTAAAATCTATAAACAACTACACATAGCAAATATTTTACTGCATATAGACATTTGTTTACATTTTTGCTTAGATCATACTAATTTTTCTTACAATACTACTTTCTAATTTTTTATATTACATCTTTAAATCAAATTCTCCCTAGAACAATAATATTCAGAACTTGAACTTATCATGACATAATTGTAATTACCATAAAACAAAATAAACCAGTACAAAAAAAAATAATATCTTAGTTTACTTGTTATATTATCAATATACCTAATTAACATTGAAGTAGCATCCATTTTAAGTGCACTTTCCAAAGAATCCAAAGTCACAGTGCACATGACCTGAGTTTGACCCCTTTGAAATACAGCCGAACCATGAAGAGGATTAAAGAGATCTACTTGACATGATATATCACGTATACCACTTGGTAAACGTCCATCACACCTGCAAATCATCAAATCTTAATTCAATCATTATTTGTAGATTGACAATATCTTATATTTAAGAATACGAGAAAACTACCTAACATTCTTCTCTAAAATTAACGTCCTGAATACATCTTTAACAATTTTCCCAAAGATTTTTTCTACTAATTTAACATCCAAAAGTGCATTATCATTTCGCAATGTTTCAATAATATTATTTCTAAGATCGTTTACTGCGTTATCTCTCGATATCTTATCGTGCGTATGATTTGAAAATATGTCTTGCAATTTTCTCTCTGAGAGTTCTTTCACAGAACTCTTCAGATTATCGTCTTCCTGTTCCCCAGAAGTTTTAATTTCTCTTTTCGGTTTACCACATGCCTTTTGCAATTTTGTTATCGATGTTACAATGTTCTGGCATTCTTTGACGCCCAGTTTTATTGCCTTCCTTAAATATGGCTCCAATATCTCATTGGCCGAACCTTCTAACATGATTATTAAATTTTGTTTAGCCGCAGTGATAATAAGATTTAATATACTGTCTTGAATTTGACGTCTGGTAGGATTGACTATTACTTCATTATCGATCATTCCAAGTCTAACAGCACCTACAGGACCATTCCAAGGAATATCGGAAACACTAAGAGCTGCAGAAGCTCCATTAATGGCGATCACATCAGGATCATTCATGCCGTCAACGGCTAACATGTTACACATTAACTGAGTGTTAAAGTAGAATCCTTCTGGAAATAACGGTCTTATGGATCGATCAATGACCCTGCTCGTAAGAATTTCATGCTCACTTGGTCCAAGTTCTCTTCGTAGAAAGTTGGTTGGTATGCGACCGGCTGCTGCTGCCTTCTGTCTGTAGTCCACGACGAGTGGAAGGAACGAAGAAATAGATGACTGATGCTGACAAACTGCAGTGACCATGACAGAAGTGTCTCCAAGAGTTGCAATCGCACAGCCATCAGCAAAACGTGCATACTTGCCTGTAGAAAACTGAAGTTGCTTGCTAGATATATAAAAAATATATATATATCAATTGATAATATATATAAATTAATTAAATTAATTTTTTTAATAACTTTTAAGCACTTCAAATAATAAGTTAAAAACAAGAAATTTCTTCTTGCAATAAATTTGAGAAATTATAAATAAAAGTATCATCATACTTCTCAATCAATTTCAGATAAATTTTGCAGTAATAAGTTAAAATTTAATTACAAAGAAATACAGAATATAATAATTTAAAATTTGAATACATCTTAATTTTTGAGAAAAAATCAGTGTAAAAATAATAAAAAATAAAATAAACAATTAAGTAAACAGCTCAATTGATAACAGTTAAATTGTTAAAAATTAAGAGCCATAAAGTTAAATTGATAAACGATATTAATTCTTAATTTAATAAAATGAATAACATGTAACAATAATTAGTGGCAACTGTATTTCTACCAAATTCAATAATAATAAAAAATACTTATATAAAAAAATAATACTATGGATAAAAAAACTCATTACAGAATACCTAAAATATTAAAATAAAGATAAGAATGTCTATGACAGTCTATATTTTTCTTGCAATTTTTTTAATATAAATTTTATATATATATATATATATAACATAATTTTCAAATATATAGATGTTTTATGACAGAATGTAACTAAATATTTCGTTTGATTTGGCAGACAGGTTAAAGTGTATGAACGTAACAACCTAACCTCACCCATCAGAAAACGTGACAGCTTCGGTGCCGGCTTTCTTGCCACTTGCGGTACTAAACTTAACATAATACACATTTCTTTTATTACACAAATATTTACATGTCACAAATACTGTCCTACAATATTTCAATAACCTAAAATTCGTACGTGCTATCATCTTTGGCAACATAAGACAAACACGTGAAACACGTTTTTCTGATCAGTTCTGTTTAACTCTTGGTTACTGATGGCGTTGCTATTTGGCAACAAGTGTGAAGTTGGCTACTGGCAGTTCAGGCTTATATAATCAAAAATCGTAATATTTAAACAGCATAGAGATGATGTATTTAATTAGAAAAACCCTTGCATTACTTTGAAAAATTACACTATTGGAAAAAACACGTCACAAAGTAACACATAACAAAATCATCTAGTTAAAATATGTAAATCACAAGCAACGGAATTGTTTCATATCATAATTTTTTAAAATCACATAATTCGAAAAGTCTCACGACGCGACGCTATATGTTTTTTTTTCTATTTCCATCATTTAATTATTTAAAATTTGATAATTTTATAAAATTATATATAATAGATGAAATTTATCTCTAATATCATGTGATTTTTCAAGTGATTTTAAAAAATTACGTAATGGGTGCATCCAGAAACACGATCGCTCATTTATTAGCGCTCATTGAGTTCTTTCATCTTATTGATCTATATTTTAGAATCTAACGAAATATGCCAATCAGATGAAAGAGCTCACTGAGCGTTCAGTGAGCTTCTTATACTTGTTTTACGTATGTATTTATTATGTATGTACATTTTATATATATGTATATTTATTTAAAAAATGTTTATATTTAAATCTTTTTTAATGTTTTCTCCCTCGTCCTGGTGACAATTTTTTAAGAATATTTCAAATAATTTTTTAGAATTTTCATGATTTTACAACGTTTTGAAAAACTTCAAATTTTTTATACAGATTGAAACATTTTTCGGAAATGCTAAAAAAATTTATATCTCTTCTAGAATTTTTTTATACTCGATATTTTAGAAAATATGTATATATGTAAAGAATGTTGTTACTTATTTCGTGATAAACAATCGAAAACAATGGTGAAATTTTTAATTATATTTTGTAAATATATTTTGGTGGTCTTAGATTGCACAGATTATAAACATTTATATTATACATATTATAAATTATTTGCTAATATTTATCATAAATATATTACATAAAATATTTAGACTATATTTTATTGTATAATAATAATATATTTTGAATATGTATAAAATATTTTAATAATATTTTGAACATGTATAAAATATTTACATATCATTCTAAAAAATGGATAGTAATAAATATTTATCATAAATATTCTGTTCTGTTTCTGGGAGGGGGGGAGGGCAATTCGTAAAGAATTTAAGAAGGTGAATACTTTTCAAATGGAGAGAGAGAGAGAAAGAGATCAGTATTGTGCTATCTAGAAATTTACATTCAGATTTCTGTATAAAACCGAATATTATTTGTGGAATATAATTCAAATATTAGAAATTTGCTGCAGTTGCATGTTGATAAATTCTCTGTAAACGCGATATCCTGCAATCGAGACAACGCAAACCAGAACAGTAGATTATCGTCTTAGCGATTATATCATTATATCGACCGCGTTTCTCTCAGCTCGGACGAGTAGAGTGATTCGCTCTCGAAAGTTGTCGCTTCGTTGGAGTGTGTGAACGAGAGAGAAAGAGAGACTCTTGAATTGCGCCTCGGTTCCCTCGGTTTCTTTCCTCGAGCTACCTCAACGTTAATTAACAATATGTCCAACTATCTGCATAATTTCCCATGCATCGATGTCGAAATTCTTTTACCAAGGAAGAAAGCCCTCCGAATTCGAATAATCCTGCGATTAAGCTTTATCTAAAGTAAGAGAAAGTCTCTCACCTTCTTCCTTTTTAATCGATTCGATTCGCTAATTTCTTTTATCGCACTTCTCGATGGATTATAAATAAGATTTCTTTCAATCAATTTCCATTCCAACCACTGAAATGAAAGGAAAATTTCATTTCTTCGTTTATTTTCATTATAATTCCAATTGATATATAGAAAAATCAATTAAAAATCTCAAAAGAAAACTTACGGTTTAGAGGATGCAAAGATTTTCTCAAATCCCATTCAGATTCTGCGAATATCCAAGAATAAAAATATAATTAACATCTTCAGGCACGTTTTAAATTAAAAAAATACAAAAAATACAAAATAGAGCAGTTTAAAATTATTTAAAAGATGTTAATTTTTTAGTAGAGTTTTAAAGACTAAAATTTAATATGTATTTAAGTAAATGTTTATTTATACTATAAATAAAGACTAATCATAATATCTATTTTTGGTACATTTAAATTCACGTAAATGAGAGGTCTATATTACTCTTTTTCACATTTATTTTGAACGGAACGTTTTTAAGACTGAGTTTTCATTAATTAAATTCCATAAATTATGATCTTAAACGCTTCTCGCGTTCCTCAACATCTGCTAGACCGCATCACTCGCTTTTCCCCTCTCCCGCACTATTCAACGATCACTTTCTTCGAGATCGCTTCGTACCGAAGAATCCGCTCTTCGCGACGTGACGCGCTAATCCTACTCGAGGATCGATTGGCGTCGTCGAGGCCAGTCAGGCTATGCAGATCCATAGATCATAGTGATCGGTGTGGTGATCCAGCGCGGATATTCTTGATTTCGCTGGTGATGTATATTCGCGGTGATTTTCTTGTCCTGCTGGTGATCGTTCTCGCGGAGACCCAATGTGCCATGATAAGAATCATCCGGGAAGATCATTTTAGTAAGTAATTTCTCGACGTTGCGATTTTCCTTACAATTTTATCAGGAATGTTTCTTACCTTCAGTGTAATAATAACATCACAGAGAAATAAAATAAAATTCTATTAATTAAACTTACTTGATATCTTCAAAAGCGTTATTTTCTTAAGATTTAAATTTATCTTAATAATACTTGGCTAATTACATTGATTTTATATCCATTTTGCGCAGTTAATTCTTTATTTAATGCGTACAGTTTTTGTTTATTTGATATATTTTTTTATTTTGTAAGTTTCTTTATAAGATATTTCTTTTTTCTTTAGTACGCGCTGAAGAACAAAAATATCTTATAAAATATACCTTTAATTATGATTAACATTATCGTAACCTTTAAAATGTGTAATTTGTAATTTTTGAAATGTATAGTTTATTCTTAATTTCTCGATTAATCTTATACTTTTATCACATTATGTTTTCCAGATTATAAATGGAATTTTAGTTTCTTCAAATTTTCAACACCTACATTTTTATTTGAAATCTTTTTGAAATATTATACGCTTGGATTTTATATCCTTCTTACACCTCTTATTATCCTCCTATAACTTTTGATAATTCACGTATATTTAGTATTTTATTACAATAGCATTAAAAAGAATACTAAACACATTTCAGAGAAAATACTCGCGAAAATCCTAATAATATTCTAAAATATCTTTGCAATATCCTGTTATAATTATCATATGTGTACTTCACTTTTTTTCACCGATTATACTTACAAATCCTAGATGTTTCAAAGTTTTTAACACGTCTTGAATTCTACCGCGCTTTTCTAGTGAACTCGGTCACTCGCATTACACTAGATTAGTGCATATTAAAAACTGATAAACAGAAATTATCAAAGTTAAACGCAAAAATTTACACGAAACGAACAATTTTGTTTATGTATTTAAAATTCAGCTAGATACAGATCTGAAAATGATTTTGTTGTACCATTAAAATAGTTACTTAAGAAATTTCAAGCATGATGAGCAATACTGCAAAGATGGAGTTTTGACATTCCAGTAAATAAATATTTTAAATGATTAAATCCAATAATTAAATTATCACGTTATTTAACCGACTACACATGTATTATTTCATTGTTAAAATTGATAATATTACAGTATTTAAATACTTTACATAAATCCAAAAAAACATACACCAAATCAAAAGAAAGTCGAAATGACGCCATAAAATTGAATTAATTTGACTGTTTATTGATATTATAAGAATCGAAATAAATCATTTTGATTTTTGGTAACTTTTGTGTATTCTTTGCCCAGACGGCACACAATATTTATAGAATATTTACAAAATATTTGTAAGACTTATTTTTAATATTTTATAAATATTTTTGTGTGGTCTTACATTACACAGATCATAAATATTTCTTAGAAAAATTATAAAATATTTATCGTATATAATATATATTATAATAAACGCTGTAAAAATACTAAATAAAACATTATAATCTCAGTAAAAAATATTTATTTGTGTTTATCATACATATTATATAAAATATTTAGTCCATATTCTAATAACGTTTTCGAATAACGCTTGTATATGTAAAATATATGTATAAAATATTTATATAATATTTCAAAAATGAATAAAATAAAATGTTTATGAATATTATAAATATTTTTTGTGCTGTCTGGGTGGAAGCAATCTTTAATATGTACGCCTGTAGTGCAAATGACTGAATTCATCATTAAGTTTTCCCGAATATTCCTGGTGCCATATTTACACTAATTGTAAGTTCATATTTCGCTACTAATGGTGGAAGCATTAAACAAATACAAGCGGCTTCGGATAACAGAGTGCGGATGTCCAGCAGCATCACAGAGGCAGCCACGATCGATTGTCTTGCCAAAGGTCCAGCCGAAAAACGGAGTCTCATTGTCAACGATTACAACCACCACCGGTCGCATCTTCAACGGCAAACCAAGCCGAAGGGGCGCGTGGCCTTGGCAGGTGTCTCTTCAGTTATTACATCCGAAACTGGGCTTTATCGGTCATTGGTGCGGTGGTGTGTTGATTGATCCTAAATGGGTGATAACCGCGGCTCACTGCATTCACAAGTGAGTTCGACGTTTCTACAGAATGCTACAGCTGTAAAATTACTTTGTTGTTCTATTTCGCGAGAAGCGTATGCCAAATTTTGTATTTAATCCAACTTTAATTTTACTAAAACTTCAAATTATTCTTACAAACACAGAGACAACATAAAAAGTCTTAAAATTTCAGTAATGTAAGACTGACTTATTTAATCTTGATTCAATTTTCTCTTTAGATCTTCTTCTAATTATAAGAATTGGAAAAAAATAAAGAGAAAATTGAGAAAAAGATAAATCTTTTAAAAGTTCAACCGAGATTAAAATTAATCTTAACATTACGAGATAAAGTGAAACCGGACCTATGTTCCATAATAACAGAGGAACATATATTCTTTAATACTAAACGTCAAATTGAAACGTCTTATATTATACGATTTCGGACTTTGTGTGTTATCTGGGAACTTTTTAGGAAAATTTTTTTAATTTTTGCTCATAGATGACCTCTCTATTATACACTATTTATTGCTTTATAAAGCATAATTGGAAATTGATATTATTTTGTTTTCTTTTCTGTCGTTTTAAACTTTTATTAATTCAGTATATACTCCTAATTCCAAATTATTAAACGGATACTTTAATTCATATTTAAGCGGATATTCTTAGTTTATACTGTATTTTTTCGAGTATTTACCTTATGCTTCGTATTCTCAAGTGGATATTTACTTCAGCGAACTGTTCAATTTACCCATCGGTGCGCTATGGACGGCGGTGGTCGGCGAATGGGAATTGGACTCAGGAGGACGCGGATCCGCACGCTTGCCCGTCGAGAAAGTGATCCTCCATGAGAGATTCAATAATTACGTGCACGACATAGGTGAGTCCTCGTATCTCTGGAATGCTGGTAATTTTGAAGACCATCAACAAAACCTAGTTTTATCAATCTAATTTTATATCCAATTTCATCAAATCTTTCACTAAATCTACTCGTTTTTCTTATTATCTAAATAAATTCTAAAACTGGAGAAATCTTGCGCGAATCGTGAGTTTCTAGAGTCCTAAAAGAAATCTTGCTATTACAGCCTTGATGAAACTCGCCAGGCCGGCGCCTTTATCCAAAGTCGTCCGTACTATCTGTCTTCCCGGTCCTGGGCAGGATCTCAGTGAAGGACAATGCGTGACCTCTGGCTGGGGCCGATATAGTCCCTCGCCTTCACTCTCCACTGCTCTTTTGGAGGCCAGTGTCCCGCTTTTAAATCTGGAGGAGTGTCTGCAGGCATATGGTACCTCGGTACCTATTAGAAAAGGTCATCTCTGCGCCGGTCAGATTGACGGTTCCTCCGGAAGCTGCGTGGTGAATCTTACATCTTTTTAAAAATTAATTCATAATCCCTCAAAATCGTAGCTGTGTCTCTGGTTTTCTAAGAAACAACTTCTTATAATTCTCTATGTTATATAATTATTTTTTTGAAATTTCCATATGTTTCAGAAAATTTTTCAAAAATGTTGAGAAAGTATATATATATATCTTTTAAAAATCTTTTATATATATAAATTCTGAAATATTCTAAAATTTCTAAGATTTCTCATTTTATAATTTTCGAAGAAAATTTATAAAGTGTGAATAAAAACTAAAAATATTTTTTTAGTTTTCAAAATTTAAAATGTAAAAGATATTTTATAAAATATTTTGAGATGTTACGAAAAGTTTTTTTTTTACTAAGGATATATAGAAAATAACCAATTAAAGGTTGTCGAAAGTCCCAACTTTTTATTTATAATCGTGTGATAGAACGTTTTACCGTTGCGGTGAAATGGAAAACTTGATTCACCCTGTATAATCCATTCATACAAAATACAAACGCTTGAACGTATTAGTACATGCATGCACTGGCTACTGAGAATAAAATGAATCGTGCACAAACACGTTTTATTATTTGAAAGCGTCAATTTGTTGTTAATTACGTCGCTCGTGCACTTTCTCATAATAAAATTGAATGCACGATCGATGGCACGCGAGATCACGAGGATATTCAAGAATACCCAAGAATTACTGTTGCTTTGAAGTAAGCTTTCGAATTCTAAGTATATGCGTTTTTATATGAAAATTCATAATATAGTATGTATTTAAAATAAAAAAATCTCTCTCTCTCTTGTATTATCAAGATTCTTTAATAACAAATGGATTCTTATTGCATTATCAACGCGATATCATAATAACATGTATTTTTTTAAATATAATATAATAATATTTTTAAAATAATATTTTAAATTAACAACAAATGAAGTTCATTTTAAATATATTTTACCAAATTCCTATTTTAACGAAAAACTGCAAAAAACCTGTTAGATTTTTTCATTTATTCTGCAAAAAGTAAACATTTATATTAATAATATTAATACTTATTATCATACTAATTATAATATTAAAATTTCACACATAATGAATATGGAGCAAATTTATGTACTAGAATAAAACTGAATTTCATTTTTTTATTTATCCTAATTTTCAGGGTGATTCTGGAGGACCTCTGCAGTGTCGTCGTACCGACGGCGTTTGGCAACTAGTCGGCGTCACGTCTTTCGGATCCGGTTGTGCCAGACCAGGTTACCCAGATGTATACACTAAGATACAACATTATCTGCATTGGATCAACAAAACAATCGATGCAAACAACGACGAGCGAAGATGAAATTTGTTCGTGTAAATAATAATAATGTAAATATACTATTGTACAGCGGTAATGTATGCAGTTCCTTGTATTTGTGTATATAGTGTATTTCACTTGCAGTGTATATTGTATGCTAACTTTTATTTTTTTTGCACGTAGAAACAATTTATATTTATTTTACATCTTAAGAATGTGTACATGTATAATATATATTTAATGCTTTTTCTATTATATTATCGCGTAGTTTAGAATTTTATTGTTTAATTTTGTAAAATACCAATTATTTCATTATTTATTTACACATACACATATATACAGTGGCATGTAAAAGTTTCGGGCCAATAACATTTTGTACTCTTATTTATAAAAAAAAGCTTGATAAAATTTTAATCATTATCGGATGTTAGTACAAAATTTAGTTAACGAAATTTTGTACTAAACTTTTGCACACCACAGCATATTATTTATAATAGAAGGAAATAGAAAAAAGAATTTTTTATACATATATGCAACAGTTAAAAGCAACACATAATATAACAAAAATTTATTTAATAAGATTATTTTATAATGCGATAATATAATAGAAAATATTCCATTTTTATGTATAATGTGTATCATAAAATGATCTCCGTTTTTACGTGGCATTTCATATAGTGTATTACATTTGTTATACATTGTATATTTTTACATTGTTTGTATATTTATAATATATATTTAGAAAAAGGAAGTTTCAAATGAATAAAAATTTAATAAAGCATCTATTAATCAATATATCTATATATGTATTGTATATACATATGTATGTATACGATTTATTTTAATGTTAATAGGCAAATATTTCGAAATACCCAAAACAACAAAAAGTGCAGTCTAAAATCAGATCAAGAGACATTTTTTGCGTCTAAAAGATAACTTAAAACCATTATGTCACAATTTTAGATTTTGTGTTGTTTGGGATACAATTTTACCAATATTTCGAAAATATGCAATTTTACAAAAAAAAATTCCAAATGAAAGTTGTACAATATAAAAGCGGATGTACAATAATGATTAATATAATATAATTTTTATTTGGAATTGTTTTTTTTTTTTTGAAATTACATATTTCAAAATATTTGCCTATTGAAATTAAAATTAATCATTCTGTACATATATTTAGATATAGGTCACGTTGTGAGTTGTATAAAAGATAATAAGCAGGCTTTAGAAAGCTGAGAACACTAGAGTAATGACGTGTAAGAGCTTTTTCTACAACCGCTTATAATAATCATTTTATTTACAGATTGTAATCTCATAAGTAACGTAAACGATTCAGTCGATTGAACGTCAGAATCAAAATAAATAAGATGATATGTCCCGCAGATCGTAAAGATTCTTTCCGGTACATTGGCCGCGGCCGGTTAAAACTTTCACGGTTATTCATCCATCCGGAAAAAGATGAGACGATCTCGTTTTAAATCGCTTAAATTATGTCGGAGAAACATAAATTTCTATCTCACTCGCGAAATCACATGACTTGTCGAATGTACAGTAAATTCCTGAAATTAGACATCGTCTGAAATTTCCTTAAAATCCCCTGTCCGCTGCATGTAGGATACATCCGCAATCATTACGTGGCTTTATTTATATCGAGAGAGTCAGACATAATTATAACGTGACTTATTTGTTCTGTCAAGATACGCTACAGTGCTTTAATAAACGTGATTACATGGTGCCATGTAGTAGACGATGGGAGTCAGAGATATTGATTTACGAATGACATACGTGACACACTGCAAGAACATATTCGATTACTGGACTTAATTAGCCTCAATTATTAATTACTGTACGTGCATTGCGCTCTGTTGTGTGAGTGTGTTGTGTATTCCAATAATAACTTATAAAACAAATAACAAAGAGTATTCCCAAAAGAAAGATATTCTCAAAGGTATTCCACACATTTCTAATAATATTCGAATGTCTCGCTGATTATGATTTACATGTAATACATGATATAAATGTTAAATGTATTACATATAATATATCATTTGCAACAACGATACAACTCAAAAATGAAGTGTTCCAGAAAACTGAATGTTTTGAATCATTCAAATTTTGTAATATTAATTTTAAAATGCAACTTTGATGTATTAATCGATTGATCAAGAAAGATATATTCTTTTCTCCTTTTCTTGTGTTTCTGTTTTTTTTTTTTCTATAAGCGATTTCAATATGACAATTTTTTATGACAAAGTTATGTCATTGTTGTAATACATAAGCAGATATATCTCTGCTAAAAAGTTCTCAAAATATTTATAAGAATTTTGCTTATTTTAAAAACTTACAAAGATTTTTTTTTAATATCTTAAAATTCTTGAAATTTTATGTTTTCTTTGCAAATTATGGAATAAAAAATCTTGGATATACAATATTTTAGAATCACATGTATACAAAAAGTTAAAACAATGTAAACTTTGTCAACATTTCTAAAAAATGTTTCAATGTATAAATAATTTCAGAGATTTTTTTCTAAAGTTATAAAAAATTATACAGGAATTCTGAAAAATTCTAGAAAATCATGAAAAATTCTAAAATTCATTAAAATATTACGTATAATATATAATACACTATACGTAATATATATCTACACGCATATACGATATCAAAAATAAAATTCAAAATTAATTTAAAGGACAAATAATATCCGTTAAATTCTGAGTGAGATATTTAATGAATATACACAAATATTCTCGCAATATTTCTATAGTGTTCAATTCTGCATAATTTTTTATTATTTTTCTTTATACGTATATTGTAAAATTAAAATAAAGATAGACTGTATCTAGATATAACAGATTACAATTTGAAGTACAATATGGTATTTTGATAGATATCGCGCTTCACTTGACATAGTTATGCAACGGTAGAAGTGGCTTTTCAGAATCGAAGTTCTTATATAAATGTAGATATCCTCCATATCCGTTCTCTCGTGGCAAATAGCTTTTCTTTCTAACTTTCAAAATGCACATCTTTCCTATATGTATATATGCACTTCTATTCACTCTGATATATATAACGTAAAGGCAAAACAAGACCACATGTGTTGAATGAAACCAAAATAAATCAGAAATAATATTTATAATACTACTTCTTCACGCTTGTCTTTTCATATTTTCCGCAAAATATTATGTGTGTATTAAAATCTTTTAATACAAATTTTCAAAACCTATAATCAATATATTTTTATTAAATTAATAAAATAATATTATGTGTGTGTGTGAAATATAGAAATGTATTTTAAATGTGCAAATAAAAACATGCACGCATACACATTTCAACTTTTCTTCCAACAAAAATAATCTTATTTTTTTATTAAATTTTTCACTAACTATCTCTTGTTGATAACAGAAACGAATCTCTTAGGAAAAAAACTTATCAGTTTATGTTAATCAATATACTTGAAATATAAAAAGTATTACATGCAATCTTGTATTTCAAAATCGTATATGTGTAAAGGATAAATTGTTAACTGTTAAAATAATTAATCATATAAGATATTCCTTAGAAAACTGCTCAAAATTATATTCAAAATCGTCGATTTTTTAAATTATTAATTAATTAATTAAAACTGCTGAAAATTATATTCAAAATTATATTGGATTGGAGAAAAAGTCCTTTTATGTATACGTAATAAGACTTTTTCCCTAACTCAATAATTTATAAGATTTAAGTAATGATCACAAATTCTTGAAGTACATCGCTCGCCTCAAGTTTTAAAGAATTGATTTTTTAAATCATCAATATTGAGATATCTCTCCCAAATTCTTGCAATTACAGTATTTTAAAGAATGTTTATTTTGATAATTTTTGAAAGGACAGACTTTTTTAAATCCTCAAGTGATCAGTCTCTGAAAATTGCTCAAAATTGTAATTTACTAAATTTAGGTCGCGATATATATTTAAATTCTCAAAAGATTAATCTTAACGCCTCGAATCTCACAATTCCATTTTTCAAATGCATGTCGCAATCTCTCAAATACTTGCAACTATAATATTTTAAATCACGATGATTCGATATTTTACGGGGGAACGAATAATTAATCATTCGTGTTTAATTCACATTTTGACGCGCGATTATACACATCCGTCAATTCTGAAATCTGACAACCAAAAGTATAATCGCTGACGCCAGATATAAAAGCCACGCTTTAGATTACATTTGACTGTGCAAAAAAAAAAAGATAATATAATATCCGTTGCGAATATTATTACTTTACGATTGAATCATCGACTGTGCGCGCAGCTCGCACGCGTTTCTCTCAATTCCTCGCTTGTATTCGCCTTCGTATTTAGATCGGACTTCACGTGCAGTTCTGCAGTGTACTTTCAACGCACGGAAGAAAGTGAGAGAGAAACCTGGTCGATGAGAAAAAAGAAAGAAAATGGGATAGCGTGTATTTTGGCTGGGAAGACAGCGTTACTCAAGTCGCTTTAACTAAAACATCTCGCACACATGACTTTCCTATCCTTTTCGTTGAAATTGCAAAAGGAAATGTCTAATAATGAAAATTATAATAAATCTAACATAAAAAAAGATATAAGATTTAAAAAAAAACCCATTTTTTCATCTGAAAGTTAAATTTGTTATTTCATATTTTTAAATTATTTTAAAATCTATAATTAAAAAATTATTTAAAATTTTAAATATATTTTATATAAGTATGTTTAATTTAAATATTATACATATACAACTCTTACGAAAAGACATTTTAATTTCAAATTCGTAAATCTATCTCTTAATTAACTGTATATATAAATAATGATATAACATATTCGAACAAATCTATAAACAGTATCTATAAAAAAAGAACAATTAAAAAAATATGCAAATCAAAAGGCTTTATTTCTTCTCTAAAATTGGCTACATGGATAAAAATATAGTGAGGAAATAGACGATCCTCTGATCTCTAAACAGCGTGATTATTTATTGTAAAATGAGACGAAAATGACAAAAGCGAACAAATTCATTAGAATACCAACAT